AATGGCAACGCCAAGGAGTATTAATATCCCTGTGAGATGGTGCATGCTGGATGCAAGTAGTCCTCAACCTACGGCCGCCACTGCGCCCCAAATTTCTGTCGCTAATTGAGACAGTTGTTCTAAGTGAGTTTTGCCCCATTTTACCACCTTTCTTGCCGGAGTTGCTAAATGAATCCCTGCAGTCGTTATGTTAGTAATACCGTTGCTAAGTGAATCCGGCTTCCCCATCGACTATGCTTGTCAAAAGCTCGCATAAGGGGATCATGTTATTCCAGGACGCTGCAACCGTCATAAATATGAGTCAGTTCAGGGGTGAAATGTAAAATTTGTTACTACCGGTTCTGTGGGCGTGGCTTGGTGGTGGTGGTGGGGTAACGTGACTGGGTGGGCGTGGCCAACTTTTTTTTTTTTTAAAAAAATACTTTTCAAAGCATTTTTTCTAATGCTTTGAAAAGCCTCTGCCGATCAGGCAACTCAGCTGGGATCGTCAGAGAGGCTTTTTAAAAAATACCTCTCTGCTGATCTGGCAACTTCAGCTGGGATCATCAGAGACTTTTCAAAGCATTTTTTTTACCACCTCTTCGGCCAAGAGGTTGCAGAAAAAAATGCTTTGAAAAGCCTCTGAGGATCCCAGCTGAGCCGCGTGATCATCAGAGGCTTTTTTTTTACTTTTAAAAGCATTTTTTCGTCAGAAGAGGTGGTAGAAAAAATGCTTTTAAAAGTAAAAAAAAAAAGCTTCTGATGATCGTGCAGCTCAGCTGGGCATGGGGGAGGGAGGCACAGGGATTTTTGCTACCGGTTCTTCGAACCACCCGCCGCCATCGCTACTGGATTGGGTGATCCGGTCCGAACTGGGAGGATTTCACCCCTGAGTCAGTTAGCAAGCATCTGAATTTTGATCACATGACCCTGGGAATGCTGCAACGGTCATAAGTGTGAAAAACTTCCCCTTTCCCCCATTAAGCAATTTTTTTTAACAGTCACTAAATGAAATGTTGTAAGTCAAGAATTATCACATCCAAAAGTACCACATCCAAAAAGGACTAGGATACAAAATTCAAAGGCATTCAGCCCTCTAAGGTCACATTATGAATGACAGCAGCACAATTAGAAAATCTGTATGCAAACTACTGTACTTTTCGGAGTATAAGACGCACTCCCCTCCCCCCCAAAAAGAGGGTGGAAATGTTGGTGTGTCTTATACACTGAATACAGCCATTTTTGGCCTCCCAAAACCCCGCCCCGCACATCCAAAACAGGCCCTTTTTTCACAAAAACATGACGTGCAGAGGGTTTGGGAGGCCTGCAGAGTGCTCCTGGGGCCCGGGGAGGGTAAAAATATATATTTTTTCTTGTTTGCCTCTTCAAAATCTTGCTGCGTCTTATACTCCGGTGTGACTTATATTCCGAAAAATACAGTAAACAGCCATTCTACAGCTGTGGCCCAGGCAGAATGCCATCTAAAATTTCTCCTATGCAGATGACAGTAAGTTTTGCCCCATTTTACGATTTTTTTTGGCCACACTTCTTAAGTGAATTATGCCGTTGTCAAATTAGTAACACAGTTGACTTTGCTAGTCAGAAAGTCGCAAAAAGTGATCACATGACCCCCTTTTTTTAAAAAAAAAAATTGATTTATATGCCGCCCTTCTCCGGAGACTCAGTGCGGCTTACAATGCGCTAAGCAATAGCCTTCATTCTTTTGTATATTTATACAAAGTCAGCTTATTGCCCCCACAAACTGGGTCCTCAATTTACCTACCTTAGAAAGGATGGAAGGCTGAGTCAACCTTGAGCCTGGTGAGATTCGAATTTATAGTAATTGCAGGCAGCTGATCTTAATAACAGGGTGCCTTAGACCACTGTACTACCAAGGCTCTTATGGGACATTTGGGACCCTGGAACATTTGCAAGTGTCAGAAATGCAGGACAGCTGCCAAGCATCCGAATTTTGGTCACGTGACCATGGGGATGCTACAACGGCCATGAAAGTGTGAAAACCGGTCATAAGTCACTTTTTTCCAGGGCTGTTTCAAATGGTCATTAAACCAGGACCATTGAAAACAACCTGTATTTTCCACCTGAACGTTCGAGAACAAGGCTGATACACCTCAACACCGAAGAATTGGGGTGTAGGTGAAATTGTTTCCTCTCTCCCAAACGGAGGGCTCCTGATACCCTTCTCCTCTGTCCTCCATGCAGCTTTGCTTATGTCTGAACACACGTTTCAGGCATTCCCAGAGACCTATTAATGGAGTAATGGCTTCACCACCAAACCATTTGCTAGCATCAGCTGTGACAAGTTGCTTGATGGACAACAAGCGGACTGATTAACCTTTGAACGGGGTAACTCAGGTTTAAGCAGAAAGGGGAGAGGGTGGTTTGTCTTTTTATTGCAACGTGACTGTGCAGAGCTGGCAACCTGATCTTAAACGTTAACAGAACACCGTCATTGCGATGGCAACCTGGACTAAGAAAACTCTGGCTGCTTCTATCTGACATCCGTGCTTTTTTCCAAGGCCTTTAATTCCATTTTGTTTCAGCTTGACCTGTGCCACGTTTGGCAAAACCTTCCATGCCTGAAAGATTTCCAAGAACCTAGTGAGGTTCTGAATGTAATCAGTAGGCATGTCTCTATTGGAAAGCCAGAATAACAAGAGTTGGAGGGGACCTTGGAGGTCTTCTAGTCCAACCCCTTGCTCAAGCATGAGACCCTTTATCATTTCAGACAACTGGTTGTCCAATCTCTTCTTAAAAACCTCCAGTGTTGGGAGCATCCACAACTTCTGGAGTCAAGATTGATTGTTCTACCCATCGGGAAATTTCACCTTAGTTCTAGGTTCTCTCCTTAATTAGTTTCCACCCATTGCTTCTTGTTCTACCTTCAGGTGCTTTGGGGAATAGGTTGACAGCATTCTTTTTTTTTTTTTTTAATTTGATGTATATGCCGCCCTTCTCCGGAGACTCAGGGCGGCTTACAATGCGTTAAGCAATAGCCTTCATACTTTTGTATATTTTATACAAAGTCAGCTTATTGCCCCCACAAACTGGGTCCTCATTTCACCTACCTTAGAAAGGATGGAAGGCTGAGTCAACCTTGAGCCTTGGAGAGATTCGAACCAGCAGTAATTGCAGGCAGCTGTGTTAATAACAGGGTGCTTAGACCACTGTACCATCAAGGCTTCTTCTTTGTGGCAGCCCCTCAAATATTGGAAGACTGCTATCATGTCACCCTTAGTCCTTCTTCTCATTAAACTAGACATACCCAATTCCTGCAACCGTTCTTCATATGTTTTAGCCTCCAGCCCCCTAATCATCTTTGTTGCTCTTCCCTGCACTCTTTCTAGAGTCTCAACATCTGTTTTACATCGTGGCAACCAAAACTGGATGCAGTATTCCAAGTGTGGCCTTACCAAGGCATTATAAAGCGGTACTAACACTTCACGTGATCTTGATTCTATCCCTCTGTTAATGGAGCCTAGAACTGGGTTGGCTTTTCTGACAACTGCAGCACTAATGGATAAGGAGAAGAACTGCAGCAGGATTCAGGTCTATAGAGATTCTCAATCATCCAAGATCAGAGTTTGTCCCAAACGGGCTTTTTTTTTCAAAATGTACTTTCTTGTTGTTGTTATTTTTTTCCTTTGAAAACATCTTGCTTCTAAGAAGTTAGAAAGGAGAGAGGAGGAGGGGGTAGGAGGAGGAAAGGGAGGGTGAGGAATGGAAGAAAGGAGAGGAGGAAGGGAAGGGAAGGGGATAGGGGTAGGAGTGAAGGCAAGAAGGGGGAAAAGAAGAGAGAAGTGGGAGAAAGGGAAAGGAAGTAGGATGAGGTGGGAGAAGAAGTAGCAGAAAGTAGGAGAGAAGAGGAGGGAGGGAAGGGAAAGAAAGGAGGAGGAGAAGAAGAAGGTTTGTTGTGGAATGAGGGAAGAAAGAGAAGAAGAGCAACTCCGAATGTAATTAAAATGTCTTATTTTAATGCTTTCTTTAAGGGAAACATGTATATGTAGGATTTCTTATGTATAAGAAAATGTACAATTTATGTGGGGAAGGGGAAAGGGGGGGGGGGACAAAATTGTTTGAATTTCTTATAAAACTTTTCAATAAAAAAAAAGAAAGAAAACATCTTGCTTCTCATCCAAGAAGCTTCTTCATTGAAAGTGAAATGTTTTCAAAAAAAAAAAAACACTCAGAAAGCCCAGTTCCCATTTGCAAAAAAGCACTTTTGGTGCAGCTGGATACCTACAGCTAAGGAAGCGCAGGTTAGGCTAAAAAGGGGTTGACTAAATTGCCTTTCACCATATATGGTGGGAACCCAGCCATCCCCTTTGTATTTTGGGCAAACCTACACTTGCCTTAGCCCTGGGGTCGGCAACTTAAAACACTCAAAAGAGCCACAAAGGTCCTAACCAGAAGACCACCTCCCCCGGTTCAATTCTGGAGCCAACCGGAAGTCCGGATCCCCCACCATAGTGTCTCCTCCTAGCACGGCGTCCTTTTTCCTCTACCTGTCTTAACTGAAAGCCCTATCAATTGTGGAGCCGACCAGAAAACTTGTCCCTTGCCATAGAGTCTCCTCCAGGCGCGCCCGGCTTTTCCCCCCAACTGGAAGCCCCTCTCAAAATTGTGGCGGCGACAGGGAGCCACAGCAGAGGGATGAAAGAGCCACATGCAGCTCCAGAGCTGTGGGTTGCCGACCCCTGCCTTAGCTGATCACATTGGTGGTTTGGGCCCTGCAGATTTTACAAAAGCAGCTTTCTTTCCTTAATATGGGTTTAGTGAACTGTGTGAATTCCGTCACAGCAGGAAACTGGTCCAGTTACATTATCATGCTAATCTCCCTTCCAAAAGTCATTCTGAGAATGACCTCCTTGCTTCTTTTTAGCTCCTTAGAGGAACAGAGATGATCTCCTTAAGAGATACCTCTGAATCTCCCTCAGGTAAAGCTAATGAAGCGATAAACAAGGATGAGTGATCAACAAAGAAGAGCTTGAATTAGTTACCTTGTGTTCCTATTTTCTGCTCTCCTCCAAAACATTTGCATCACAATTTGCAGGTGCTACATTTTGCTTCTCCTTTTTATGTCAATCACTCTGCAGCTCATTTCCATTTTCCTTGGCTTCAGAATCAAGTCCTTTCTTTCTTCCTTCGGCTTCTTGTTTTTCTCCAAAGGTATTATGGTTGCTGGTCCACTCCATCCTTATGAAGGATCGTTTTGAAAAGGCCGACACAACCATCCATTCAAAGTTCTTCTCATTTTCAGTTTTTTTTTTAAAAAAAACCCAAATGTATTCTAGGAATACTATCCGAAAGATAGCCTCACGAGTTTGCTCTTCTTAGATGTCTGGGGGAAGAGAGAAGAGAATAGCTGATAAACACAAATCACAGCATCTAACATGAGTTTATTTTAAGAAATCATCACCCTCGCTAATGAGAAATTAGCAGTCTTCATCTTTAAAAGGTGTTGTTTTACAGCAGGGGTGTCCAACCTTGTAACTGTAAGGCCTGTGGACAACTCCCAGAATTCCCCAGCCAGCTATGAATTCTGGGAGTTGAAATCCACAAGTCTTAGAAGTTGGACACTCGTTTTAGAGAAAAGGTGAGAAATAAGACTTACTTACTTACTTACTTACTTACTTACTTACTTACTTACTTATTTATTTATTTATTTATTTATTTATTTATTTATTTAATTTTTATACTGCCCTTTTCCCAAAGGACTCAGGGCGGTGAACAGCCAAGATTAAAATACATACAGTATGAAAATTAAAATAATTTAAAACATAATTAAATCAATTTGGCTTCCCCAATTTAAAACCCCTTACCCATAAAATTAACCAGTTAAAAATTTTAAGCCAGCCCGGCTTGCTGAAAATAGAAAAGTCTTCAGGGCCCGGCAGAAAGTACGGAGGTCCGGGATCAGTCGTATCCCTGGGGGTAGCTCGTTCCAGAGGGCGGGTGCCCCCACAGAGAAGGCTCTACCCCTGGGGGCCGCCAGTCAACATTGTTTGACCGATGGCACCCTTAGAAAACTAGAAATTAGAAAATTAGAAAATCAACAGGGTCCAGTGTAAACCAAGTCAATAACAATCTTCTACATCTTCACTGTAAGGAAATTCATTTTTATATCTTTCTATTGGCAGCTAAGTTTATGTGTTCTGTTTCCAGCCAGCTCCTGACAAGCAAAGTGAATGGGGGAAGCTGGATCTGCTTAACAGCCTGATTCACTGAACAACTGCAATGATGTATTTAACAACTGTGGCAAAAAAAGGCCGGGTGCGACTCACTTAACGACCATCTTGCTTAGCAATGGAAATTCTGGTACCAATTATGGCTGTTCAGTCGAGAACTACCTGTAGAAGTAGAGCCAGTTACTTTATGGTTTCAAATTCGTAGGTTTGGTAGCACCTTTTCCAGCTAAACCATTTTATTAAAAGGCACAAGCCTTTGGGAGCTACAGCTCACTTCATTGAATGAATAGAAGTGGCTAGATTGATAGCAATAGTAATAGCACTTAAGACTTATATACCGCTTCATAGTGCTGTACAGCCCTATTTGTAAACAGCCCTGTCTGAGTGGTTTACAAATGTCAGCATATTGCCTCCAACAACCTGGGTCCTCAGTTTACCAACCTCGGAAGGATGGAAGGCTGAGTCAACCTTGAGCCGGTCAGGATCGAACTGCTGGCAGTGAGCAGAGTTTGCCTGCAATATTGCATTCTAACCACTGTGCCACCAGGGCTCCTGGTATTGTAAGATACATTTAAATTTAAAGGCCCTATTTCAATCTATATCCACTTTAAGCCAGTGTTTCTCAACCTTGATAACTTGAAGTTGAGTGGACCTCAGTTCCCAGCAAATTCTAGGAATTTTAAATCCAGAGATCTTTAACAGATTAATAGAGTTGGAAGGGACCTTGTAGGTCATCTAGTCCAACCCCTCACTCAAGCAGGAGACCCTACACCATTTCTGACAAATGGCAGTCCAGTCTCTTCTTGAAAGCTTCCAGTGATGAAGCTCCCACAACTTCTGAAGGCAACTCCTGTTCCATTGCTTGATTGTTCTCACTGTCAGAAAATTTCTCCTTATTTCAAGGTTGAATCTCTCCTTGATCAGTCTCCATCCATTATTCCTTGCCTGGCCTTCGGGTGCCTTGGAACATAGCTTGACCCCGCTCCTCTCTGTGGCAGCCCCTCAAATATTAGAACACTGCTATCATGTCTCCCCTGGTCCTTCTCTTCACTAGACTAGCCATGCCCAGTTCCTGTAACCGTTCATCCAATGTTTTAGTCTCCAGTCTCCTAATCATCCTGGTTGCTCTTCTCTGCACTTTTTCTAGAGTCTCAACATCTTTTTTTATAGTGCGGTGACCAAAACTGGATGCAGTACTCTAGGTGTGGTCTTTCTTACTAAGGCTTTATGGAGTGGTATTAGTACCTCCCTTGATCTTGATTGTATCCCTGTGTTAATGCAACTTAGGATCGCATTTGCTTTTTCATAAAGTTGCCAAGGTTGACAAATCCTGGTCTAGACAGTATGCATCCAAACTCCTAGGCAGCATAAAAATAATTAGTTGGAAAGGGGGCTAGCAGGCTACTTCGATTCCAGTTATCGCAGTGATGGAGTGAAAAAACAAAAGCAAGTAAGACAACTGGGAAGGATGTTTGTATGTGTTATGTGTAACCACGTGTTGGGGAATTTGCACTTTATCCTGCGAATCTTTTAAATTCAAGGACTGTTTACATAACACAGTCAAGTTTATAGGTGTGTGGAAGGCAAAGCAGGGTAGATATGCTGATCCTTGGCATCCACGCCTGAGTGCAGGCAGTTTATTATCATCATCAGTCTCTCGATCACTTCAATGCACCCAATGCACCCAGAGCGGGGTGATTATGATTAAAGATTAAATGATGTTTTAAACCAGGCTTTCATTTGAAGGAGAGAAAAAGCTGGCCAGCTAAAAGACGAAAACTTTGGTGGCGAAGTAACCTATTTATGAAAAGGGAGTTCTACAGCGAGAGTACGTTTATGATGAGGGGGAAAAAAAGAAACTTTGTAAAATATAGTTAAATTGCTATATTTTTAAGATTAGTGATAAGATTTAAATTTGATAAAGTAATAATGGAATAAAGATTTCATGAGCATTACATGAAGTAATAAATAAATGTAAGGAAGTTTTAGAAACGGAAATAATTTTGGAATATAAACATGTTTGAACTGTATTGTTAATAGTGAGGATTTAGGGTAAGAATTGTGAAATGTATTATGAGGTATTAATTAGATTAAGATTTAAGGTGGGTTAATAGAAGGGTAATTATATTGATTAAGTAAATATGAGTAAACTTTTTCTAAGATGGTATTAGTTGAAATATGTGATTTAAGATTAAGAAATAAGTGTTATGGCAAAATAGAATATATAAAATTTTGTTAAAGATGAAAAAAAATTGAACAAATTGATGACCGGATCAAAGCTCTGTTCCGAAAAGATGTAATTTGTATGTTTGAAAAAAAAAAACTTTTTGCAAAAAAAAAGGAAGAAACTGCTCTCTCGTTTGCATACAGGTGGTCCTTGACTTACAATTCATTTAGTGACCGTTCAAAGTTACGACATTGTGGGAGAAAGTGACATGATTGTTTTTCACACTTATGACCATTGCAGCATCTCCATGGTCACGTGATTTATACATTCGGATGCTTGACCACTGATTCACATTTATGACAGTTGCAATGTCCCGGGGTCATGTGATCCCCTTTTGCGACCTCCTGACAAGCAAAATCAATGAGGAAACCAGATTCACTTAACAACCATGTTACTAACTTAACGATTGCAGTGATCCACTTAATAACTGTGGCAAGAATCATCCTAAAATGGGACATAATTCACTTAACAAGTTTCTCACTTAGCAATGTAAATTTTGGCGCTCAGTTCTGGTCGTAAGTTGAGGACTTCCTGTACTTCCAGTGCAGAGACTGAAGCTTGTTTAAACTTCTGCTTTTTAATAAAACTAGTTAATTGGAAAAGATGCTACAAGACATTTTTTTCGGTTTGTTTATATGCTACTTCTCCAATGACGCACTGGTCTTTGCAATGCACAAACATTTCTGTCCATTACATTCTGTTTAAAATTAGCTACTTGATTCACATTTAACAAATGTACTTCAAAAGACTTTTATTTCATTAGCCTTATGACCATTTATCATTCAGGGCTAATAGAAACCTTTGGATTTTTTTTATTTTTTTTTAAAAAGAGCTCAAGTTAGAATAAGAGAAACGTTCAGTAGAAACTAGGTTATGCCTTAATCCACTGAGTGATTTAAGGTGAATAACAAAGGTAGCCCTCCACCTACTACCGATCACTTAGTGACCGGTTGGATTTACAACAGACTCATCAGGAGCTACTTATGACCCAAAGTCAAAGTTACGATGCCCTGCAATCACAGCTGTCTTTTGGGCACTGGCCATCCTGCAGTTATGTGACTCTAGTTTTCAAAATTTCTATTATGTTTTCTGACATTCAATTCCTGTTTCTGGAGAAAAAAAAACCCGCCCACTGGGTAAAATTGATTCACTTAACGACTGTTGCTGCAAAAAAGTCATAAAGAGTCTAGTGGCCTGTTTAACTGCTGCAAAGAGTTGCAATTGTAATTCTGTAATTATGGTCATATGTCAAGGATTACACATACGGGGGCTTCCAAGAAGAAGGAAAAGAGCCAAATGTCTTAGAGCAACTCAGAGGCACATAAAATTTATGACAACATAAGCTAGCGTAGACCCAGGCATCTGAGTAATGGTAATTATTTGGAATTGAAGGATACAATGAATAATGTATTTGCTTTTTTCTTGTGGCAATTCTCTCTTCAGAGCTATCTCTGTGCAAATAAGCCAGCCAAGACTTCAATTACACTTTGCTGATTTTGCTAAGAACAGAAGTGCAACGGAGAAAGCACCGGTGGGGAGGAGAGAGAGAGAGAAAACCCACATCCTAATCCACACCAGCAACGGTTTTGCGCCAAGCGAATACATACCAAATACAACTAAACATGTTTGTGTGTGTGTGTGTGTGTGTTTGTGTAAGGATGTGGGGGGGCGGGAAGGATCAGAGGTCCGTAAGGTGGAGCGAAGCAACCTGGACTTTGAATTTACTGGGTTGCTTCCAAGCAGAATGAAGCACCTAACCAAGGGGCAAAAATAACAATCGGAAAGGTGATCTGAGGACAGGAAACCTCAGCAAAACAGTCCCAAAGGCGCTTTTTCAGGAGGCAACTGGATTTTCTTGGGCGTTTTTTTTTTTTTTGAAGATGTTTCGCTTCTCATCCAAGAAGCTTCTTCAGCTCTGACAGGATAGTGGAAGTAGGAATGGATTTCCAGAGGGGGAAAAAAATTGCAATTACAGGAACCAGAAGCATAACTCAGGTGGCCCTGAGGACACAGATAAACCTCCAAGTGATTCAATGACCCTCTAAAACAGAGGTCTTCAAACTTGGGAGCTTTAAGACTTGTGGACTTCGACTCCCAGAATTCCCCAGCCAGCTGGCTGGGGAATTCTGGGAGTCGAAGTCCACAAGTCTTAAAGCTGCCAAGTTTGAAAACCTCTGCTCTAAAAGGATGTAAATGACCAGCTGTCTGCAAGGAATATAAATCCTTCCATTTATTTTATTTATTTATTTTATTTTATTAAATTTCTATACCACCCTTCTCCCGAAGGACTCAGGGCGGTAAACAGCCAGAAGATAAAACACAGAGATACAAAAATTTAAAATAGATTAAAAACGAATTAAATAATTTGGCTGAATTTAAAATACCCCATAATTTAAACAACCAAGCTGAGAGAGCACCAAGGACCCCACCAAGGACCCCTCAGAAATATCATTAGTCGGCTCAACAGGTGATGCTGAGGTACAGATTGTTACCTCAGCAAAAGTGTTCTTTTGTTGTAGCACAGATAATGGAACTTTTCTCCGGTGATGGTACAAAATGGAACTTTCCTCCAAGAATGGTACATAGTCCTTGAATTATGACTGGTCATTTAATGACCATTAAAGACCCACATAAAGCACTTCTGGGTGTCGTAAAATGTCATGCGACCCTCCACTTGTCACAATCATTATGTTTTGGGCATTTGGCAACCTGTTTGTATTACAAGTGAGTGCCAAGAGCCTTGTTATCATTGAATATCATTGGCAACCTACCGTATTTTTCAGACTCTAGGACCCACCAAGATTTCTAAGAGATAAAGAAGAAAAAAAGCAGAACCTGTCAAAACCTGCTGGATTTCACCCCTGCCCCACGCGTTGCGTTTTTTGCCCTCCCCAGCCCCCAGGAGCACTCTGCAGGCCTCCCAAACCTTCTGTGCGCCCCGTTTTTTACAAAAAATGGGACGCGCAGGGTGGGGTTTTGGGCGGCCAAAAATGGCTGTATTTGGTGTATAAGACGCACTAACATTTCCACCCTCTTTTAGGGTAGGAAAAATGTGTCTTATACTCCGAAAAGTACGGTACTCTGCTGGCTTCCCCAGAAAACCATTGGGGAAGCCGGCAGGGAAGGTTCCAACAGGAAGGGATAGAGGATTAGAAGGACATTTCCCCAGAGCGCTGAGGGATTTCCCCTCCCCTCCATGCAGGGAGAAGAAATCTTTCCCTGTGCTGAAAGAACAGCTCTCAAATCTGCTGAAAACAATAGCAAAGCCAATATTTTGAAAGAAGGACGCTAACAAAAAAGGATTCCGGAGGAAAAATAACCCCTAAAAGCTCTGAGTCTCAGCATTCTGAAATGGCTTTGCTAGCATTTTGCCTCCCCCAGCCCTGAGGCACACCCATGCGGCTGCTTAATGACCATAATGGGGAGAGCTCAGATGGCGGTCGCTGAGTGAGGTGGTCACAGAGGTGCCTCGTTTAACAACCAGAATGACTTGTGACTAAAACTCAGGGCTCCATAGCAATCTTAAGTCAAGGACTAGTATATCTGGCCTCCTCTGTATTTTCAGGTTTTTATTTATTTATTATATTTATTATATTTCTATACCGCCTTTCTCCCGTAGGACTCAAGGCAGTGTACAGTGTACAGTGTACAGTCAAGAAAAATAGGTTTGACATCTTATGGCTCTCTCTAACAAAATTGTTCTGTAGTAGGTTTTAGTACTGGGTTTTACTCTTACTCTATAAAATGGAATGGCTCTGGATTGAAGGTTACACATTCCTAGGTAATTTCAGCCAGACCTATGTACGACTTGAGTGATGGAGAACTGGGATATGGATTAAAATGTCCAGATTATGGCTAGAGAATTAAGTTCAAACCAATGCTGGTTTCATCTGAGAAACCTTTTCCATGTTTGCTTCTGAGTATCCCTGATATCCACATTTTTCAATTTTCAGTACCGTGGACTTTAACAACAATTCCTTGGCCAGTATGTCCATTGCTGAAAGCCTCAAAGTTCACCTATCTGAAAGCTACCCAGGTGGGAAAGGCTGATTTTCAGTTTACCTTTGCCCACAGCTAAAGAGCTACAATTAAAGGGGATTAGGTAGATAGCATCCTATGGGATTCTCCGCACTGTTGTAACATATAGAGCCGTGGTGGCGCAGTGGTTAGAATGCAGTACTGCTGGCTACTACTGCTGACTGCCAGCTGCCAGCAGTTCGACAGTTTGATTTTCACTGGCTCAAGGTTGACTCAGCCTTCCATCCTGTCTTGTCTGAAATGGTATAGGGCCGTAATGGCAAACCTCTGGCACGCGTGCCAGAGGTGGCATGCAACGCCCTTTGATGCCCGGCGAGCCGTTGCCCCAGTTCAGGTCTGCTGTGCATGTGCCTCCAGCCGAGCAGCTGGTCTGCGGGTCTCTGCCGCCCATGTGTAGGGGTGGGGCGCATGCAGGGAGCCGCATGGGGGTGGGGCGCATGTGCAGGGCCATGCACGCATTGCATTTTGGAGGTTTGGGCATGTTTTGGGCACTCGGTCCGAAAAAGGTTAGTCATCACTGGTATAGGGTTTCCTGCCTAAATAGGGGGTTGGATTAGAAGACTTCCAAAGTCCCTTCCAGATTCCATTCCATTCTATTATTTTCCTCAATATCTGTATTTCTAAGGCTGGAAATTGGATCATGAAAAAAAAAATGCAGCTGCTACTATCCTAAATCCTTCCATTCTTATAACTTCAAGATTGGTGAGACCTAAGCCAATGTTTGATTTCCTAATAATAAGATTGCTGGTCATTAATTGCCCAAAACCTCAGGACCAACCCTGCCCCAAACTGTCATAGGCTTCCCTGAAACCACCTTTGCCAAAACACAAACACGCTGGAGGCCAGATTACCTATATAAAAACCAAAGCGCCGAAAAGGCGGGCCAGCCTCAACCAAAGACTTTTCCCAGCAATCAATCTTGGAAGTTCTGGAATGCCGATTCTCCAAGACGGCGGCGGTGTTTCTTGCCAACAGTAAAAGGTACGGGCCGTGGCTTTAATTAAGCATTCCCGAGCTACAGGGCGCCAGCCAGCGGGAAAATCCTGGAAGAGCATGACGGTGCTTATAATTTTCCTGTGAATCGGTGCACCTGTAACTACATGACAAGCAGTCATCAGAAAGGAATCCGGCGTGGGGGGGGGGGCTGGGAAATTAGAGTTTGCTGTACTCCATGGTTCAACTCTGTGGGATCAAAGAGTCATAACAAGCATGGGGTTTGCACACCCTGCTTAGTTAGCCTGGAGGAGGAGGAGAAGGAAGGTGTGTCTCAATCACTTCCGTATCTCTGTTTTTCCAGCCAAGATTCACTTCCATTTTCCTTGGTTTGCAAAGCACATCTGAGCAGGCAAAACCTGAAGGACATGAACGTCTTCCGAAGAATCTTACAATAGTTTACTGCTACATAGCGGGTGACCAAGTTCATTTGGGAGAATGTCTAGAACAGGGGTGTCAAACTCAAGGCCCGGGGGCCAGATCCCGCCCGTGGGGGTGCTTAGATCTGGCCCGCCGTGGAAACAGTGAAGGACAGGCCCGCGGTGCCTCTGTCAGTGAAAACGGACCTCGGGAAGGCCGCGCGCTGCCTGCCCAGGTTCCGTTTTCAGCCGCGACAGCCTCCTGCAGCCCTCTGCCAACAAAAATGGAGCTCGGGGAGGCCACATGCAACCCGCCTGGGCTCTGTTTTCAGCCGCGACAGCCTCCTGCAGCCCTCTGCCAACAAAAATGGAGCTCGGGGAGGCCACACGCAACCCGCCTGGGCTCCATTTTCAGCCATGACAGCCTCCTGCAGCCCTCTGCCAGTGAAAACGGAGGCCGGGCGAGCCACATGTGGCCTCCCTGAGCTTTATTTTCACTGGCAGAGGGCTGCAGGAGGCCATCGCAGCCAAAAATGAACCCTTGATGAGTGACATCAAGCTGGCCACACCCACATACCCGGTCCCCCAAGGTCAAACACAACCCTGATGCGGCCCTCAATGAAATTGAGTTTGATACCCCTGGTTTAGAAGCAAAATGGAGGCTCTGAGATCTAATCGAAGCCATTCTTCCGCTAAAGATTGATAGCACAGAGTAATTTTAAGTGGTGTGAATGCTGGGAAAGTGCCTTGACTGTCATAGAAACATTCACACAACTTTGGAGAAAGAGGTCAGAAGATTCCCAGACGGTTTCTTAAATCACTGCATGATAGAATCGGATTTCTCCACTGTTTATTATGACCTGCCTTGTCTTTTTCAGTAGCCCAAAGGGGCTTGCCACTTCTTTAAAAAATGTTACATATTCAGTGGTATATAGAAAGCCTACAATGTTGGGTAGTCCTCGATTTACGACCATTTTGATTGTAAAGCTGTGATTGTCACAAAGCAGATTACCATGAGACCAGACTGAATTTTGCAGCGGTTGTTAAGTGAACTCCAAGAATCAATAAACGAACCCATGATTCGCCATAGGATGGCTTTTGCTGGAAGTAGAACATCAGTTTCTGGCAAAAATGTTGTGAATCGTGGCCACATGGGCCATGGGAAATGGCAGTAAATGTGAGCCGGTTGCCAAGTGCCCAAATTGTGATCATGTGGGTGGGACAGACTTCATAACTGGAATAGGACAAATCATTGCGGTCAACTCGCTGCGAGGCAATTGAACAATTCAATTTAATTATTTGAAATAAAATAAAAATATTTTAATTTTTGTCATTCGCATTTCCTTTTGCCCGGTTGCATCCATTCTTTAATCATTCTATTCCACCTTTTCTTCGATATTAGTGTAACTCTTGGTCCACAGTGAGTTGTCCTGTGGCAACCTGGCTGTGGCAAGTTGCCCGGTGGCGAGTTGGTCACAGCAAATTGGTCGTGGCAAGTTGTCATAGACCAGTGATGGCTAACCTTTTTGCCATCATGTGCCAAAAGCGGAGGGAGTGCAGGGGGGTTGTGCGCGAGTGTGCTCACACCCATAATTCTATGCGCCCCACCCCCATGTATGTGTGTGTGACCACCCTCACTGACCCCCGCGTGCTTCCCTCGCTTTTGGATGTGATGGCACAGTGGGCCCGGTAGGCCCGTTTTTCGCCCTCCCCAGGCTCCAGAGCCTTTCTAGGAGCCTGGGGAGGGCGAAAAATGGCCTTCTCCACCTCCCTAGAGGCCCTCTGGAGGCCAGAAATGGCCTGTTTGCCGACTTCCAGTGGGCCCGGAAGGCCCGAAAATCAGGTGGCTGATGCGCACATGTGTGCCAGAGCTGAGCTTGTGTGCCCACTGATATGGCTCTGCGTGCCACCTGTGGCACACGTGCCATAGGTTCGCCATCACGGTCATAGACCCTTTGGAATTTTCAATCTGGGTTGTAAGTAGCTTTTGGGGAGTCTGTTGTACCTTTGACCAATCACTAAGCAACTATCATAAATCAAGGACTAAAGAGAGGAGACAGACATAAAAATATGACAGCTTCTAGAACCACAATTGTTAGCCCTCCGCCCTTTCTGACAGGGCTTAATTTTTCATCCAAAATTTTACTTGACTACATCGAAGGGCATGAACAGGTAAATAGGTACATGATGCTTTGCATCTTTTAAAGCCACTCAAGTCCTCTTCTCCAAGCAGCAACTCTAATATCTCAGTGACATCTAGGTTTTTCTGGAAGCAAGACAGGGGGCCTGGCCACAATGAAGTTGCCCAGCTCTTATTTAAAATAAACGAAAGCAGCCTGAGATAATTATAAGATCCATGTCTTCTGGATTGCCTTCTCTACAATCCCTAAACCCTCAAGTTTATTTATAAGCCGCAGTCCCAAACTATGGAGAAATGCAGTTACACTTACGTCAAACACATTTCCTAATATTGCATTCGCTTCATGTAAATCGAATGTGCCAATAACAGCTCCTAAACACCAAAAGGTTCCTTTTGTAAACATTTCCCCACTGATCCCAAATACAGGATCTTCATTTAGCTAAGAAGCATGCCACAAACGAATGGAAATTTACAATATCATCAGCAGGAGGATAAAATGGATCAAAAGGTTACAATTTACAGTCATTAAACTTAATGCCTATCAAACTCTGTCTGGGGTGACAGAAATCAGACGGAGAAGAAAGAAAGAAAGAAAGAAGGGAGGGAGGGAGGGAGGAAGGAAGTAAGAGGAAGGGGAAAGAAAGAAAAGGAAAGAAAGAGTGAGAGTGAGAGTGAGAGTGAGAGAGAGAGAAAGAGAGAGAGAGAGAAAGAAAGAAAGAAAGAAAGAAAGAAAGAAAGAAAGAAGGAAGGAAGGAAGGAAGGAAGGAAGGAAGGAAGGAAGGAAGGAAAAAAGAAAGAAGGAAGGAAGGAAGGAAGGAAGGAAGGAAGGAAGGAAAGAAAGAAAGAAAGAAAGAAAGAAAGAAAGAAAGAAAGAAAGAAAGAAAGAAAGAAAGAAAGAAAGAAAGAAAGAAAGAAAGAAAACCAAAACTCATTCTCTAATGAAAGAGGAAAAAATAAATAAAAACCTCAACTTAGAAATATTTATATCAACATCCCCAGGATATTGTTTTGTTTGTTTAAAACAAAAGTGTTTGTTTTTGTTGGTTTTAGGCAGGGGTGAAATGTAAAATGTGTTACCGGTTCTGTGGGCGTGGCTTGGTGGTGGTGGTGGTAATGTGACTGGGTGGGCGTAGCCAACTTTTTTTTTTTTTTTTAACTTTTCAAAGCATTTTTTCTAATGCTTTGAAAAGCCTCTGCCGACCAGGCAATTCAGCTGGGATCGTCAGAGAGGCTTTTTTAAAAATGCTTTGAAAAGCCTCTCTGCCATCAGGCAACTCAGCTGGGTTCGTCAGAGACTTTTCAAAGCATTTTTTTTTACCCCCTCTTCGGCCAAGAGGTTGCAGAAAAAAATGCTTTGAAAAGCCTCTGACGAACCCAGCTGAGCCGCGCGATCATCAGAGGCTTTTTAAAAAACTTTTAAAAGCATTTTTTCGTCGTTTTTCACACTTATGACTGTTGCGGCATCCACAAGGTTATGTGATCAAAATTCAGAGGCTTGGCAAATGACTCATATTTATGACGATTGCAGGGTCCCAGGGTCATTGGATCGTCTTTTGAGACCTTCTGACCAGCAAAGTCAATGAAGAAAGCCAGATTCACTTAGCGATGTGTTATGAATTTAACAGCTGCAGCGATTCACTTAACAACTGTGTCAAGAAAGGTCATAAAATGGGACATAGTTCACTTAACAACCGTCTTGCTTGACATACAACAGTTCATTTAGTGACCATTCAAAGTTACAGTAGCACTGAAAACAGTGACTTATGACCATTTTTTAAGAATACAATAACAAGAGTTGGAAGGGACCTTGGAGGTCTTCTAGTCCAACCCCCTGCTTAGGCAGGAAACTAACTTTTCATAGTTGGTTTGCAGTATCCCCATGATCTTTTGATCAAAATTTAGATGCTTGGAAACTGCTTCATACTTATGACCGTTGCTGTGTCCCAAGGTCATGTGATCCCCTTTTGCAACCTTTCTGACAAGCAAAAGTCAATGGGGAAGCCAGATTCACTTAACAACCGGGTTACTAACTTATCAACTGCAGATTCACTTAACAGCCGTGGCAAGAAAGGTCGTAAAAATGGGGCAAAACTCACTGAACAGCAGAAATTCTGGGCTCAATTGTGGTTGTATGTCGAGGACTACCTGTACACATATCCTCCTTGGGTGTGAAGCCACAAGTCACAAGTCCCTGCCTCTTTCTTAATTCCAATTCCACAGCATTGGCAAGGCAGGTAAAGGTAAAGGTTCCCCTTGCACATATGTGCTAGTAGTTCCTGACTCTAGGGGGCGGTGCTCACCTCCGTTTCAAAGCTGAAGAACCAGCGTGTCCGAAGACATCTCCATGGTCATGTGGCTGGCATGACCAAACGCCAAAGGCACACAGAACGCTGTTACCTTCCCACCAAAGGTGGTCCCTATTTTTCTACTTGCATTTTTTACGTGCTTTCGAACTGCTAGGTTGGCAGAAGCTGGGACAAGTAACGGGAGCTCACCCCATTACGCGGCACTAGGGATTCGAACCACTGAACTGCCGACCTTCCGATCGACAAGCTCACCGTCTTAGCCACTGAGCCACTGTGTCCATGGCATATGCTTATTTAC